TGATGGAATATCATAGGGATTTCAGCGTCAAAGTTATCATCCACTGTAAAGTCAATAACACAATGTACATCCTCTCATTCACCACTTCTAGATTTATGTTTTCAGCATAAAGCACGTGCACAATCAATATTCCAAATAAAGACGTAAGCATTGAAAATACACCAAGAGAAATTAAATATCTACATTAGGTGGTTAGAGATTAGTCCCAATTAAGTTCAAAGATTTGAAGGAAAATATTCCTTAAATTATCAATTAAAAAAAATGTATTTCCTTTGCGTAAACACTGATTCATTGGTCTTAAAGTTGCAGTTTTTCCAATAAACAAAAACTGTTTGAATCAGGGATAACATGTAGTGTCCAGAATGGCAAAGTTCTCAATTTGTAGATACAAGTTATAGGTGAGGCTACCCTTAACACAGAAAGCTGTCAAGATTACAAATTAATACAGTAAACACTCATACAAACACCCCTCTCCTCCAACACACACACATTTATACCAACATGCAGAACCGAGTTCATATTTTTGCAAAATTATGCTGTATTCAATTCAAAACATAAAATGTAGGCATTAGCTGGTTTCCGTTTCACTTTGGTAGAAAGAGATCTTTACATTATAATTCGCTGTAATGGTTGTAACTTAATTCTAACTAGTATTGTCATGTAGTTTATGCATGACTGCTGTGATGACAATGGCACTGATGCTCCTTGTATAACAATAATTCATGTGGAACTGATATAGATTTTACAGCTTGCAAACATTTTTATCACAAAAGAAATTATGTCTTAATATGCCAAATAAAGGTATCTATATTGCCTGTAACATCTTACTTCTTGGTCACCGATTTTGTCGTATAATGGTAAGGCACATGATGCTGTACTTTTAAAATGTATGAATTTAATCATAAATATAGTTGAGGAATTCAGTGATTCAGTCACTTATATCGATACATGAACAACCTATTGCAATACAGTTTTATAAATACCTAGACATTAATCGATAATAATATAGCCAGTTTGATAAATATCTGGACAATCTATGGTGAAACAGCCAATCTTAATACACACTTGGTGGCTTTACCTATAGTGAAACAGCCATTTAAATGTCACTTATATTTCTGTACTTCATATTGAAAAAGAACAAGACCTTTCATCTTTTCTTCCTAAATTGTCAGAATTTTGATGAGTAGGCTTCAATTAATAAAATCAACAAAATGACAGAAGACTGGGTTCTAAATACTTAACATTCACATAACGGTTTACAAATGGCATTATTTCCATAACTTTATTCTTTGTAGTTTTTGTTCAAAACCAAATGAAAAAAAAATCAACTGTTGATATAATTACTTGAAGAGAGGCCATTGCATGTATTTCCTTAAGAAAAGCCAACTAACTCTGGCCACTTATTTTTCACTGCTAGAAAAAAAACCACATTAAGATTTCATGGATTATTCCCATCAAGGGTATAAGGACATGGTCATGAATAATTTCATACAAACAGAGTGGTGTATCTTCAGTGGTTAGTGGCTATTCATGATATTTTTAAAGGAATATGTAATGTCTTAGGCAGTTGAAGTTTTAATATTAAGTTTTTTTTTGGCAGAAAACCTACACAATATGGGTATGTAGAATATCTTGCTGTGCATTCAATATCATACTACTTGTGTTCCTTTAATATCTCTCATGCAGGATTTTGTGGATTACAGCATCAAAGCATGTTATACACTTGCTTAGATAAAACCATATACATGTATATGGCACTATATATTGGCTAGTTTTATAGCAAGAACAGAGATTAAATCCTATGTGCTCCAGCTCCTATATATACAGGATTTTGTTTTTCTATAGGATAAATTTTTCGGACAGAATAACATTGACATGAATTACATAAAGCGAAGACGATAAACTTAGGCACGAGGGCATCTAACAGTATTTCTTCAAAAACTGCTGTATTTGCCGATAATTAAGTACAACACTATGAAAATGTAACATCCAAGATTTCAAAGGTATAGTTTTTTGAAAGTATGCACACACTAATAAGTTCAAAAATATTTACTCCTAATCTTTTTAGGGGGTTACTTGTATACATATATATATGTCAAACAGATAAACATATAACTCAGATGAAAATAGACACTATATTTACACTGTTTAGCACCTTCATCCATGCATCTATGAATCCTCTTCCTAGCTAACATTTCCTTAAAGAAAAACTGTTTAACCACCCATTTACATTTGAAAATCATAATGAAAGGAAAGAGAAAAATAACAATTACACCCAACCAGTACATAACACAATCTTACCACAATAAGCCGGAATGACTTTTAGAGATTGCTATACAACTAAGGACACCTATGCTGCACGGGTTTATAAATATCATATAACTGGAACCTCCCTCACCCCCATAATTTCTTTTTCAAAAGAAGTTAGGTGTTCTTGATAAAGGCCCATAAATGTTTTACTTTACCCATCAACCAATATTCACCTTTTGAACACATTGTCCTATCCTAGACCCATCCACTAAGTACTTACATGTAACAGTCTGAACAGGGTGTGAAATATGTACATTACATTTTAAAAAATATAAACAGTATGGACTGATATTTCACACTGGTTCATCACCAGTGACACAATGCATTAAACAATTCGTATATCCTGACCAAAATATCTCTAACACTTCAAAAATTGTAAATCAATGCACATGAAAGGAACGGTAAATTATCTAGCGACAACCATATTCACAACAAAAGTTTTAAGTAGTTATACAAGTTGTATTTATCTTATTGTATTGTAGAAAAATACATGTAAATATTCAATAAAGATAGTATATTGGTGTCAGTAAATTTATGTATTACTACATCAACATTTGTACTTAAATACAGTAGTGACAACACTCTTTGATTGTGGCTGGGTGAGGCAACAATTATATCAATACAAACCTATTAAATTTTAAATACATATTCCAAAATACCATAAAACAATGTAATACTTTAATCAGATAACTTCAGAGCACAACTTTTCGTCCCATAAACACACAAAAATTCACATTTATGCTTAATGGATGATATAATAAAAGATAATTCAAAATTTATTTTGATGTAAGAGAAGTGAATGGTACCAAGTATATAATACCCCTCCATATAACATATAGATGGCTCTGCTGAAATGTAACCAGGAAGTAATTGTGCATGGACACATATGCAGATGGATATGGTTTATTTCATGGAAACATCAATACTTCAAAGTGTAACTTTTAGATAATTGATAATCTGATCAGTGTTACTGTATATCCATCTTCAAACCTCTAAATTTGTGTTCATTAAACTCGTCTTCACTGATTAATTATAAACAATCCCTTAATTTTAAATAGGACAATCTTGTGAGGAAACATAACTGCTTATTACAAAAGAAATATTAATCTATATAGCAAATCTAGCACAATAAGGTATCAGATTTGAGATTCAAGTATCATCAATACAAAGTAGATTTACATGTACATGTGTTATGTTCCATTTTTGAACTTATTCTAAGAAGAAAGTCTCAGTATTACGACAAATTGCTGAAAGATATTTTACAACCAAATGGAGGTATTGCATGTTAAATACAGGACTCAAAGCATTAATTTCAGACAGTTTCAAGTAAGTATATATTTCATAGTGTGCTTTTGCTCATGTATCAAGAGGAAAATAAAGGCAAATAGAAGAATCTATTGGACAACCTCCCACAGATATTCTTTATACTTCAGGACCAATTATACAGTATACATAATATTGTAGATTACACAGTTAATACAAAACATAAATAACACAACGCACAACACTGTAAGTTACAGAAATAAAATAAGTTTCCAGCAAGGCATAACTATATTTTTTAATTTCTTATTGACACAAAATTCCATTGAAAAAAAAAATCATTAATTTTGATAAAGGAACAATCAATCAAATATGTTCAAGGTGAAAAGTTCTTCAGATAAAAAACCCCACAAATTAAGATTTTGTTGTGGAGTACTTAGAGAGTAAGGCTGATGGATATATCATTTCTAATTCCTACATGTATTAGTGTAAATGTATAGCAATCACAACATACTAATTAAAATGTTTGAAAATATCATTCTTAACTTTTGATTAGTAAATTTAATTTATAGATTGATATATTACAAAATTTGAGGCATACACTTTGTACATATACACTGTAGGCCACTCAATAATGAGGTCATCCAATTTACATGTAGGTCATGCCCTACTGAGGTCATATGCCATTAAATGTGTTTATAAATTAAAATCTGACCAGTATAAAGTCCTTTAAGTACTATGTATGACAATGTACAAATGCAGAATCAGAATAAGGCTTGTACATTTAAAACTATCAGAGTAGTACCCCAGTAAACTTGATATTCTTTTATTACAATAAATGGATTTCTGTTAATTGGGACTATAAAAGATCAATAATATATATACAGTAATGATACACATATTACTGACTGATTATCTCTGACACAGATCAATATATACTTTGAATATTTAAAATGCAAAAAGCAAATGTAAAATACTTGTATGACATGTTATAAAGACTTATTCATAATCATATTGACTGAAAGCTGTTATTTTACAACATCAATCAGTTATATCTATGTATTTAACTGTACGCAGAATTATTATGAGAAAAGTTTAACAACAAAATATAACAAGAAACTGTAAATACATTTGATCTGGCCTTGTGGATTTTAAGATAAACACCATGACATCATGTGGCCTTTATAAAAAATACATCAGGAAAAATAAATATGACTTAACTGCCCTAAAATAGTCAGGGTTCTCGTTAGGACACAACACTTTTAATTTTAACAAGAGGTCTGTTCTAGACACATAGCATCAATATTGTTATATTTTATGATACTAAGACAAACAATTTCTATATTGATACACTTTATAAATATCACAAATGTATTGTATCTTTTGAATTATTGTTTTATATAGCATTTAAAGCTAAAAAAATTATTCATGACACCATAGTTTGCTCCGTTTTTTCAAGTTTAAAGTCCTGAATGAAATTAGTATGTTTGGAGTTTTATCTCCTCAGAACAGCTGAGGTAATACAAGGACGGGTGCCTCAGGAGACAATATTTGGAAGAAATCACATTGTAGAAAGAAAGAAAATAGTAACAATTAAGTATTGCTTTGATGACAACAGATCAATTTTAGTCTCTTTAAATTTCCTTGGTAATCAAGTGTCATAACTTGTACACTGTGAATGGAATCCTTACTCTGCATCATATACATGTAGACCATGTAATATAGGCCCAACAAGTGATAAGTAAGTGTTAGTATTATTAAGCAAACAATCTTTACTTATATGAATACCTGTACATGTACTAAAAATCATGTAATTATACCGAAAGCAAGCAATTACACCACAATACGTAATCCACTTATGTACCTCTCTAAAAAGAGAAAAACTGAATATATCTAAACATTTCTGATCATCTGGAAGCTGTGTTTGAGCATTATTAATTGTACATATAATTACATTAATACCTTGTACCAGTTTTACAGATTAATCTAGATTCTCTTCTCTCATCTCAGTTACTAAGCTTTATTTTGCTGTGGTGATGGCTGCCACAATCCCTCCACAGCAAGTCAGAAAGCAGATGAGTCCCCCTAGGATATAGGTAGATGTGATGATCCAGAAGGCAAAGTAGTAACAGGTAGGATGGCAGTACATTTGAGAGGTCTCATCAGTACTGAAGTTTCCATAGGTACGATATACCCACACATTTCCTATAAAAAAATGGGAATCAGATTATCATAAGAGTGATGGCTAAGTACCATAAGTGCATAACCAGAATTCCCTATATAAAAGAGGGCAACATGTTTCCATAGGTTATAGATATGGTAGCCACACATTAAGTGAAATATGGAGGCATTATTATCATAGATACGTATGATACAACCAACATTGCTTGTAAGAGCAGACATGGTGGGAAGTCATATCTTTGTACAGTTGTCAGTTACTGACATCAATTGGCAGGCTGCTACCTAGATATCAGTCTTGATAAAGGGACAGAACTCTTACATGTCAAATATGTAATGACTAGGCAGCTTGAAAATAAGGAACGAGTGTAAGTCTTACCAGCAATAAACCAGGCGAACAAAAAGCAGTTCAGTAACATGTCTGCTGGATTTGTCTTCACATTTTTCTGATCATCATCCTCTCCTTCTTCTTTCTTATTTCTCAGTTTCTGTCCTAGACTGGACAGATTCTTGATAATCCCAAACACTCCAGCCACCAATAGATAGATAGGGATAAACCTCTCAGCTGGACATTGATGTAGATACACACCTCCTGTCAACCAGTGATTATATATTCTTACTTATTCAATGATATCAACACTTAAGGAGATATCCATAAGTTTACTAACGTAAATGGGAAGTGTTACATAAAAACGAACCACAATGTTATCACTAGTTAACAATTTCAGCTAAAACATCATCAAGTCATTATACACCTATCAAACACAATCCAAGGTGTTGCTCACATTGGAATATCTGGTCATATCAATTGCTGAATGATAAATTTGTTCCTTTCAAAAATGATATTCAACCTGTTGACATAAACAGAATTACAAACATCTCCTTTGTACATGTCTGCATACCATATCATATTAATGTTCTCAAGAACTGGGTTGGAGAAAAATAAAGAGGTAAAGTTTGTAACTGGTGTTCAACGACACAAATTTTGTTCAACAAGCTTTAAATACATCTTAAATAGAATCAACTGGAGGAATACAAGTATTATGTAACATGTAATGGTATTTCAACACCTATATATCTGTACCGAAATATATTGAAGATTGTCAACAGAGCAATTGAATTTGTGAAATGGACACTTGTGGTGTATGTGCATATCAGTTAACTAGAAAAATGTTCCAAACTAACAAAGAATACTCAACATGATGGACCTACCTATAGCTGTCATTGCTATTGGAATCGCCAGGAAAATTCCCATTATAATGGTACAGGCCACTGTTGAAAAAACAAGTGTGTCAGATTCAACAATTAGTAAATTCTAAATATCCAGAACCAAAAACATACAGATAGGTCACAAACACAATCAACATAAAGGATACACTATCATTGGAGCTAATGTACATGAACATGTAGTTGTGAGAATAAGACATCAATGTTAAAAAGTATGAATGTCCAGCATACATGCCCTTCAAACTAGATATAGACATACACTCTATGGACATGTATGTACAAATGTCCAGCATACATGCCCTTCAAACTAGATATAGACATACACTCTATGGACATGTATGTACAAATGTCCAGCATACATGCCCTTCAAACTAGATATAGACATACACTCTATGGACATGTATGTACAAATGTCCAGCATACATGCCCTTCAAACTAGATATAGACATACACTCTATGGACATGTATGTACAAATGTCCAGCATACATGCCCTTCAAACTAGATATAGACATACACTCTATGGACATGTATGTACAAATGTCCAGCATACATGCCCTTCAAACTAGATATAGACATACACTCTATGGACATGTATGTACAAATGTCCAGCATACATGCCCTTCAAACTAGATATAGACATACACTCTATGGACATGTATGTACAAATGTCCAGCATACATGCCCTTCAAACTAGATATAGACATACACTCTATGGACATGTATGTACAAATGTCCAGCATACATGCCCTTCAAACTAGATATAGATATACACTCTATGGACATGTATGTACAAATGTCCAGCATACATGCCCTTCAAACTAGATATAGACATACACTCTATGGACATGTATGTACAAATGTCCAGCATACATGCCCTTCAAACTAGATATAGACATACACTCTATGGACATGTATGTACAAATGTCCAGCATACATGCCCTTCAAACTAGATATAGACATACACTCTATGGACATGTATGTACAAATGTCCAGCATACATGCCCTTCAAACTAGATATAGACATACACTCTATGGACATGTATGTACAAATGTCCAGCATACATGCCCTTCAAACTAGATATAGACATACACTCTATGGACATGTATGTACAAATGTCCAGCATACATGCCCTTCAAACTAGATATAGACATACACTCTATGGACATGTATGTACAAATGTCCAGCATACATGCCCTTCAAACTAGATATAGACATACACTCTATGGACATGTATGTACAAATGTCCAGCATACATGCCCTTCAAACTAGATATAGACATACACTCTATGGACATGTATGTACAAATGTCCAGCATACATGCCCTTCAAACTAGATATAGACATACACTCTATGGACATGTATGTACAAATGTCCAGCATACATGCCCTTCAAACTAGATATAGACATACACTCTATGGACATGTATGTACAAATGTCCAGCATACATGCCCTTCAAACTAGATATAGACATACACTCTATGGACATGTATGTACAAATGTCCAGCATACATGCCCTTCAAACTAGATATAGACATACACTCTATGGACATGTATGTACAAATGTCCAGCATACATGCCCTTCAAACTAGATATAGACATACACTCTATGGACATGTATGTACAAATGTCCAGCATACATGCCCTTCAAACTAGATATAGACATACACTCTATGGACATGTATGTACAAATGTCCAGCATACATGCCCTTCAAACTAGATATAGACATACACTCTATGGACATGTATGTACAAATGTCCAGCATACATGCCCTTCAAACTAGATATAGATATACACTCTATGGACATGTATGTACAAATGTCCAGCATACATGCCCTTCAAACTAGATATAGACATACACTCTATGGACATGTATGTACAAATGTCCAGCATACATGCCCTTCAAACTAGATATAGACATACACTCTATGGACATGTATGTACAAATGTCCAGCATACATGCCCTTCAAACTAGATATAGACATACACTCTATGGACATGTATGTACAAATGTCCAGCATACATGCCCTTCAAACTAGATATAGACATACACTCTATGGACATGTATGTACAAATGTCCAGCATACATGCCCTTCAAACTAGATATAGACATACACTCTATGGACATGTATGTACAAATGTCCAGCATACATGCCCTTCAAACTAGATATAGATATACACTCTATGGACATGTATGTACAAATGTCCAGCATACATGCCCTTCAAACTAGATATAGACATACACTCTATGGACATGTATGTACAAATGTCCAGCATACATGCCCTTCAAACTAGATATAGACATACACTCTATGGACATGTATGTACAAATGTCCAGCATACATGCCCTTCAAACTAGATATAGACATACACTCTATGGACATGTATGTACAAATGTCCAGCATACATGCCCTTCAAACTAGATATAGATATACACTCTATGGACATGTATGTACAAATGTCCAGCATACATGCCCTTCAAACTAGATATAGACATACACTCTATGGACATGTATGTACAAATGTCCAGCATACATGCCCTTCAAACTAGATATAGATATACACTCTATGGACATGTATGTACAAATGTCCAGCATACATGCCCTTCAAACTAGATATAGACATACACTCTATGGACATGTATGTACAAATGTCCAGCATACATGCCCTTCAAACTAGATATAGACATACACTCTATGGACATGTATGTACAAATGTCCAGCATACATGCCCTTAAAACTAGATATAGACATACACTCTATGGACATGTATGTACAAATGTCCAGCAAAATAATGTCTTTAAATATAAATGTACAGTAAAACAATATGTTAAAAAACATATGCCCAATAAAACATTATCTTAACATAGCAATGTCTAGTAAAACAATAAATATACATACAAATGCACAGTAATACAAAGTTTATACCTATAAAAATGTCCTGTAAACCAATGTCTTAAGTTACAAATATCTTGCTAAAAAATGTTAATACAAACAAATGTCCATCTAAGCAAAGTATAAACATACAAATATCTGGTAAACAGAGTTTAGAGTTACAATTTTTCGGTTCAGCAGCTTCAATGTATGTAAATATCAAGTAATAAAACAAACAATATAGAATTAAACCAATAAAGGCATAAAAATTCAAACTACTGTGTCAAATGGTATACAGATAATGAACTGTAACACAGAAAACAAAACATAGGTTGTCTTAACTTACAGGTTCCCATAAGTATGCCTACGAAGCTCTTGGCAAACTGAGCATTGTTACTGGATGAGGCTTTGGCAGCCTTCACCTTCCCAAACAGTGAATCGTACGATGGCGGAGGTTCTGAAATTTGATAGAACATTAAAATGACAATTTATGCAGTTTTATCATTTTTTACAATGTACATATTTATGACAAATTCCATACTATACTATAATGAAATCCGTTAACATTACCGGTAATGCAATTCAAACCGATAACTGACTAAAGGTTTACAACCACAGTATAATTTTACAGCAGAAGTAGTACTGAATTGACCAGGTTACATTGCACTTAATACTGCAGTAATTTATATCAGAAAACAATAAATGAAGATCTTACACAACCTACCAGAGTATCCATTAGCCCCATATGGAGGAAGGCCCTCAGGCATATCCACTGCAGATTGGTCAGCTGTGGCATGGTAAGATGGTGGTGATTCCTTTGGATTTGAGAGGAAACAAATCAAATGTACACTTAGATTTACCAACACACACCTACTCCCACCTGGTATACCCGCTAAGTTATGAAGAAACTTTTAGAATATAAAGATAACTATGTAATAAACTAACCCTCATCATACACACTGTACATGTAAACTTTAAAATATCAGTTAAAGAACTTGTACATGTTCAAAAATTCCTGGCTTATAATAAATTGTATCCTAGACAAATATGTCCTGTCATTACATTTAAATAAGTACAATTGTGATGTGAATTAAATCATATGACATATATTGTACATACTATGAAAACTACAAGTACATGTAATGAACTTAGTATGAGTGCCTTATATACTGTATATCTATGTACAATACATTCCACAGATATACATCAGATAAAAAAATAAAATAACTGTCTACCCAAGAGAAAATATACCTGAGAATCCCAGCAGGATCTCATCATGGGCCCTGTCAGGTAAAAATATCTTACCAGGATCCTGGTTATCCCAGTCATTTCACATTGCAATTTTAACCAATTCCAAAACAAATGGGATCTGAATATCATTTTCTCATGGGTATTACCATACTGTGATTAAATCAATAAAGTATGATGATAAAGTGGAATATATTTTGCTGAAAATATGAAAATCTGATTTTTGAAAAATAATTTTTAATTTGCTGATATACAGTATTTGATTGAAACCGAAGAAAGCTGTTATTACATTGAAATTTCTAATAGTAATGGCACTACTCAGAGTTCTTGAAAGAAAGACATGCATTATCTGAAATAAAGACTAACTATTGGTATAAATAAGACAGAAAATCTATGAAACAATACCAATGGATATATTTATATGAAACTAGCTCAGTACTTTTTACTCCTTCAGACACAATTTGACAATTTAACATTATCTGTTCTATGAAATTGTAATGAATTACCTGATCTAGTGCATTACCATCACTGTGTGCCTAAAAATAAAAAAAGAATTGTCACTGTCACTCAAATCAATATAATGATGAAGCATTGTACATAACATTATGTACATGTGGCATACAATGCATCAGGCTTCTGTATGTACATGCAATGCTTATATACAAGCTGATGATGTAAAAACCATGTTATGATTGTATTCTAGAATTCATTTCATCTAAGATATGTATAGTAACTTTAGACAATCTTTGGTGGTCAGGTGGCGCAGTGGTAACACATCCACCCTTCTCCAAGACCACCAGGGCTCAATTCCCCAAACCAAATGGACGTGAAAAGGTAAGGGGCCACAGCCCCTCCCCATGGGTTTCCCTGGTACTCAGTAAAGACCCATCCCAAATTTCAGTCTGGGCCAACAAACATGATTAGTGTAAGTTGGAAAAACGTGTTTTACTTTTGATCTAGATCTGACAATAGTACACCTAAAGTGTGAAAGTGAGAAAATAATCTGCAACTTCAGTTGTTGTTAAGGAACAAGATATGTATTTTAGTATAGGTTTCCAACATACAAAGTAAAAATGAAAATAAAAAGTGGTTTTTACACAATCTCTACATGTAAATACATTATGGAAGTGAAAGTACACGATTAAAAATCGTATTCATCGTAATCACAAAAAGGTAATCTCGGATAGCAGAAATACTATACGACTTGTTAAGTTGTTTCGTGTTTCTATAGGCGTACAATGATAAAAGTAAGATCGTTTGCAAGATCCGTTGATAAATCGAATGTTGAAGCTGCTGACAACATCTGCCAGTCTACTAAACCGGTTTGACACACCTTCACGTTAATATAACATCATTGCGGGTATATCTTTAACTTATTTAGCATAAAATTCAACGTTGCTGCATTGAAAATTCTCTGTAATACTTGCCAATTTCGTTTCTTCTGCCATCGTTTCTTACTGCACGACAATTTCGTTTCCGTGTTTGTCGCTAAACAGAGCGTCCTAATGACGGCGACCGCTTGTAATGGTTAGTCCTACAGTACGGATTATTTATCTATCAGGATTAGCCCGGAGTCAGATTAGCTAAGATCGTGTAACATGAGTTTAAAATTGAAGCTGCTTCGTCTTTGGAGAGAAGATAAAGTAATAGAACGTTAGATAAGACAGTATAATAAAATTGTTAGATTTGTTTATCTCAAAGTCCATGCCGCTCGGTTTTAACGAATACATGTACGGCATGCGCGCGGCTTGCTGTTATATGTACGTCACCTTTCCTGTGTATGTTACACTGTTACATTTAAAATGTTCTTATCAAATACACGAATTATTTCTCACTTATGCTATTCGTATGGAGCCCGTTAACTGACATGCTCCATACTTATCTTATTTCGTTTTTTCGAAATAATAATTCGTTTAAACGAAATAATAATATTTCGTTTAAACGAATTATTATTTCGAAAAAAAAACGATATTATTTCGTTTAAACGAATTATTATTTCGAAAAAACGAAATGATATTTCGAAATAACGAATTAATATTTCGAAAAAACGAAATAATATTTCGAAATAACGAATTAATATTTCGAAAAAACGAAATAAAATAAGTATGGAGCATGTCAGTTAACGGGCTCTGTATATTCGAGATAATTGATTGAGCAATTGAGTGTTTCTTAATTAATCTATACATTTTCAATTGTCGAAAGTAACGCTTCCGAGTACTGGTGCTTCAGAACACCGCTCTGTTTAAAATTTGCTTGATATTTATGAATGCTTATGAATTTTGAGTCTTAATCTTACTGGTTATGGATACTGTTCTCCGCCATCTTGTGTAAATGTAAATGTTATTATTTGTATGTTTATTCTCAATCTTATATGCTATTGCATACGGAGTGAAATAAAATTGAAATTGACATGTGTTGTTATGTAAAGGTGGTGTTGCGTGTTGGGTAATTGTTGAAATATTGGGCAATTATTGAAATAATTTCTTGTATGGTCATGTCCAGTATTGTCTTGTTTTCGATGTTGCCGGTCAGTTCGTTTGTCTATGTCTCGTCGGATGTTAGATTTGGGAGAGCCGCCGAGGTGAGAGGATCAGGTCCAGTACGGTTTTATGTTGTAGCGTCAGTAGTTCCGGCATACTCTATTAGAAATGAATTACCGGTATATGAAGTGCTCCAAACCCATTGTTCGGGTACGTGGAACAGTATATTTATAGCTTCATTTTGCTTAGAGTGTTGTACTATGAATGAATATTGTATACTTATTTAGTGTAGTCCTATAACGGTATTTCTTTGTTAAATGAGAGAAATGGCGGGATAATGTTCATTTAACTCGATAGCCAGAGTTTTAAAGAGTTTTAATTAAACGTCAAGAAGAGTTGATGGACTTCTCCCCCCCCCCCCCCCATAGAAATAATAAAACAAAAAAACATAACTGTCCGAGGATTACGGCGACTCCTTATTGACATGATCGATAGTACGGAAGCGTATTCCGACCACGTTGTGTTTTATTTTAACTCGAAATTTCGAGTTAGTAATCCGAAATTTTGAGTTAGTAAGTCGAAATTTCGAGTTGTTATCTCGAAATTTCGGGTTAATATCTCAAAATTTCTGATGAATAACTCGAAATTTCGAGTTGCTATCTCGAAATTTCGAGATAAAATAAAACAAAAATTAGAAAGTTTCGCTGGACCGATGAAGTTCCGTGTACATGTAGACTGTACATTGTTTACATGTAGACAGAGTATCAAAGTGTAGCCTGCATGAAAATTAAATTAATGTAGTTTTATTATCTATGATTGAAAATTTAAAAAAAAGGTTGAAAACCGCATCAAAATGTGCTAGCCCAATACCGAGATATTGACGTATAAATTGCACGATTTTCACATGTCATTCCAGAGTCACTGCCCTTCGTTTTCACTTTGTCAGTATAGCGATTAACTCGATAGCCGATGGGGGCCGAGAATGATGTCACTCTGGCTACTTACCAACGGAAGGTTGACTTGCGCTGAATGGGGCCCATCGACCGTGACGTCACAAGTTTAACGACTGGTAGCGTCAGCTGTAGAAGAACAGGATCCGAGGACTCACGCATAACACCAACAACAACCGGGACTCACGAATAACACCTACAAGATCCGAGGACTCACGAATAACACTAACAAGTATCGTGGACTCACGAATAACACCAACAAGAACCAAGAACTCACGAATAACACCAACAAGAACCGAGGATTCGGGAATAACACTAACAAGAACCGAGGACTCACGAATAACACCAACAAGAACCGAGGACTCACGAATAACACCAACAAGAACCGATGACTTATGAATAACACCAACAAGAACCGGGAACTCACGAATAACACCAACAAGAACCGAGTACCCACTAATAACACCAACAATAACCGAGGACTCTACTAACATCAACAAGAACCGAGGACTCACGAATAGCACCAACAAGAACCGAGGACTCACGAATAGCACCAACAAGAACCGAGTACCCACTAATAACACCAACAATAACCGAGGACTCTACTAACATCAACAAGAACCGAGGACTCACGAATAGCACCAACAAGAACCGAGGACTCACGAATAACACCAACAAGAACCGAATACTCACAAATTACACCAACAAGAACCGAGTACCCACGAATAACACCAACAATAACCGAGGACTCTAATAACACCAACATGTAATAGGAGATACAAAGTGCCAAATGCAAGAATAGAAGAATTTAATTTGGACAGGTTGCAAGCCTTTTATCCTGTACCCTTAGATGTCCGATCTGTTGCTATGGCAGTTAAATCTAAATTTTGGTCAGTAAATGTTAAACTCGTGGTAGACAGGGTTTTCTATTTAACGATGTCAATCGCTAAGTGTAAACAAATACACAGCATTCTACTAGGTGACTTGCCTTCTGTACGGGAGGTGGATGTGGGGGCTTTTGTACTATTAACTTATATTGATCAAATCAAAGTGTACAAGTCCATACATGTAAAAGAGTAAATCTAAAGGAATATACTGCAGCAAAACGTTTTTGTTTTTTTTTTTTTTCCTTTTTCTATTTTATTTGCTTTTATTTTTATGGCTTTTGAACACGATTACACACATGTGTTGTCAGTCATTTAAAATAATTTCAGTGTATAGAATTCGCTTCATCATGGCTAAACAATTTCCACTTCAAGTAACATGTATCAACTGACAGTGTTTCCGCTCTATCTTAGAGTATTGTTATACCTCTGACATCCTACCACCAAAAGAAACATAATCTCAGTTTAAGAAGATATTACGGGACATTCGTAAATACTATTCAAAATAAGATTGAATGTACTTGTATTATCCATAGTCAATTTTGTAGTCCGTGAATATCGAACCAACTGAATCATGTTAATATCATAGGGTGGGGATGCAAGGATGTTGCTAGCCAGAAATGGAAAATCAGCGATAAAGAAAACTAAATGGAAAGTTTTGTTGTAGAAAGAAAACGATGTTTGTCGATAGCCAAATCTGGTTGGTATTCACGATGGATATTGTCGATCTATTTCTTGTTATTTAAATTGATTAAACAGCAGCATCCTGGTACTCTATGCTGCTTTCTGTGCAGTAATACACTAGGTGATTATTGCGGGAAATTCTAGAATTCTAGGGAAAGAATCAGCCGAAACTAATATTTATCAATGTTAGATACTTTAACTCAATACTGCAATAAATTTCGTGAAAACATTCAATGCATTTGATTACTGAACCCTGCCACTTTACATCGGAATTAAAAAATGGCATACAGAGATACGCCACAACATGTCACAAGATACGAAGGAAAACGTTACAGAAGATACGTCGGAACATTCCCGTGATTCGTGTAGTTTATTGTCTACTTTCTATTTCAAGGTTATGGCCGACCTACATTTTTCACTATAATGGTAAGTACACGTCATAATCACCAATCTGTCTGGCATGAACAATAACATAATGGTCTCACACACACACATAAATATGAACCGTCTGAAGATAACCGAAACAAGACTTGAAAACGTTACAGATAGTCAAATTAATTTGTCTTGTTGATTCTTTTATGTTGAGATATTTATGATTCATATGATATGGATATTTGTATATACATATATTCGTGTTTTAAATCATTACAGTACCAAGCCAGGTCACCTGTTTCGAGAATAGGTTCCACAGAATTTTAACGTTTTTAGAATAATACCCTTAAGGCCTGTTTCTCTCCGTGCTATGAGCTTCACTAACGAATGCTACAGCTTTATGATACAGTGATACCTCATTCTTGGCTACATAACGTATATCTGATTCTGAAAATGAATGTTATTAATCACCCATGTGTCTTTTGAAAATATTGCATTTAATTTCCACCAAAGTCTCAACCTATTTAACGAGATCTCGTAAGAACCCCAGGAAAAATTTCACTTAATTTCCCGCCACAATATTACACAATCATGTGTTGTACATTGTTAAAATAGAGTGGTCATCAATCAAGATTAGTGAAGTATAAAGTTTGTGCAGAAGACATTACTATTAATAATTCGAATTACATTGTGTTTATTTTCGCATTACAACCGCATATCGTCTAGTTCTTAATAGGATTAGCTTTTGTTACAGGTCACAACTAAAGGAGGTCAGTGGTTCCCTCAGATCACTTTCACAAAAAGGGCTCAATGTACAAGATACGTCATAAGTCTCTCAACAGACCGCGTTAAAGACAAAGAGATGAGGGAATGCAGGTATAGCTATGTCGCAGCTCACTTTATTTTGGTAAGATAAATGGCGCGTTTCTTCGTACAAATTCCGATTCGACGTGTTCGCCTTTCATTCGTTCTTCTGTCTTCTGAGGCCTGTGTCCAATATCAGTATTAGAATTTGTTATCATTTGGATCTGGACAATGCTTGCAATAATAGCGATGTCGCTGAAGATGTAACTGTGAA